GCCATGCTGGGAAGATTATGGAAATTAGTATTGAGACCCATGTTCATGTTAAAGATAGAGAAAGAAAATCCTGAGCTCTATGTTTGTTGTTCCATGGGAGTGTAATGGCAACATGAGTGCATGCTTAAGGACAAATACTCTACATCAACTTCCTTTGTATCTGCCTCTCCTGGATCTCATTTTCTTAACAAGGTTGTCTCTAAATGGAATGGATGCCATGGAAACACGGTGTAAAGTGATAGTATTGCTAACATTGTTTTGTTGTAGGTTTTGCATGGTATTTTTTTTTAACTCTCAATATGTATGTTTCTCTGATTGAAATTCTTCTATCACTTTGTTTTACTTTCATCTGATATTTTGGTTAAGTACACTTTGATTTGTATCATAATACATGAATTAAATGTATCATAATACATGAATTAAATGGTTAGGAAGGTGCACCTTAGTCCTTGCATTAACGTATCTTGGGCTTGGTGGCCAATAACACACTGAATCTCCAGTTAAGATTTAAGGTATCTTTCTATGATTATGGAAACAAGGTTATGTTTTCCTGATTCTCCTCCTCTTTTTGGCAGATTTGGCTTTCATCAACCTCCATTTAACAGTGTTAACCATCTCCACCTCCATTGTTTTGCTCTACCCTTCATACCTAGGTAGTCTATGCTTCTGCTTTTATTTTGTTTTACTTTCTATCTTGAAAATCGAACAAGGTTTCAAAAATTCCTGGTTTAATCCATAAAGAGTTTGAACAGATGGAAACATATAAAATATATATCTTTGGGGCCATTAGGCGGGTTTATTGAAGCTGAGAAGTTGTTGGAGAAGATAAAACCACTGTCAACAAATACCTCTTCGGTATGAGTGCATGAATCACTATTAACTTTTCTTTACTCGTAATTATCAATCCTTCTGTTGTTTGTAAGTTTTCTGATGATTAATTGATGTTATTCAAGATGAAACTGCTTTTGCAAATAAGGTTACTTAAACTTTGTAACATGCATATTGAATAATAAGAATTGGGTATACAGCTTGTGCTTGTCTTCTACCTTACTCTATAAATTAACATCCTTGATCTAGACTCTGTTAGCATAATCAGTCTTTGCATCAATATCACTGTGTCAGGTGGCACACTTAATGATCCATGGTTCTGTATGGATATCCTTGGACTGATGTGGTTTAGATGTTAACACTACCAAGGTTTTTTGTTTTTATTTTTATTTTTTTTGTTAAGCTTCACTCCACATTTGCCCCAGCTAGCCATGACAAGCTGGATGTCTCAGGTGCATTATGTGAAAGCATATCACAATCCCGCATTCCCTTGTTTGATATACCAAATTGTCTAGTTTTTAATCTCTCTCTGGTTTTCAAACGGCAACTCAAATTCTGAGATGTAATAAACATGAATAATTGTTTATCTTCTTCTATGCTACTGATGCCATTGTACACGGACACAATAGGCTCACATGCATCTTGTGTAATGAGATTAATGGAGCTTGCAGAGCCTTTTTGAAGTGTTCTTCATGGTTCAATACAAGTCTAGGAGCTGGTGATAAGGTAGGGAGATGGTTGTCCAACTTTAGATTCTGGAGAATGGGCATTGGTATGCTAGCTTAGTACTTACTTGGCCTAACACTATCATAGCATTCAAGGGACCAAAGCTTGATCTGGTTCTGTTGGGCCATTATTGATGAATGATAAATTAGCAGGTTTTTATTATTGCATGTGAGTCTGACTTTGCAAACTTGGACCACCGCATAATCTAGGCCTCGAATTTAAAACGCATCAGCCTATTTTCTGCCCCATATTCTTTTAGCTGAAAAAAAAAGCATCCTACGACTAAATTCCATTCCAGCAAACGTAATTAATTTGACAAAACCTCAGGCTACTGAAAGAGGTATATATACCTTCTCTTAGGTATAACAAATTAGAAAACAGATCATCCTAGCTGTTTTGGTGAA